TAGTTTTATCCTTCCATCTTGGGTGACCTCACAATTTGTCACAATGTGCCCTAACTACAGCTAGTTCAGGGAGGAATTGGGCTTATCAGAGTATGTACAATTATATCTTAACACTATAATGTTCAGAATAATATGATAAAACATAATAACGAAGTGAGAGTGCTACAGATTATTGCTCAACATATTGAATAAAGCAATGTTTACCACTGCTTTATGATAAAGACAAAGTCATTAAAAGCTGCACAGCTATTGAGACTTTCTTAAAACAGTTGGGAAGCTGCCTAAGTTTCCTAGGTCCACTATAATAATCAGTACAAATGGGGTAAACAACACAGCACAGATTCCATCTAGAGGGAGATGGAGTGAAAATGAAAAGCAAGAGTGGAATTGCTTCTCTTTAAGATATGTACTATCATAAAGGCTGCAATTTCCACTGTGTTGTACTTTCACTCTCTTTAATTACACTACTCTGAAAAACTAGGGTCTTACTCAGTTCCGGTTTGTTAAATCGAGACACAGATTTCTGCAGAGAAAGTACACACATACTCCAGAGGATAGTCTAATGGATGTTTATTGGACAGAATTAAATTGAGTTATAAGGCATGAGGTTAGAGGGAAAGGTCTTTGGATAAAGGTGGTGATTTAAAGGGAGGCTAGAAAATAGGTTATAAAGTACCCTTGGAACCTTTAAAAAAAAAAAAAAAAACAGCCAGTGGAACCTAGAACCTTAACTTCGCCATATGCTTATCCCTGCACCCCATTTTTGTCCTCTGTGATTCTGAACACATGGGCTAAAGTCTAGCAGTCTGGAAGCCACTGCTTGGTTATTCAAGTGTCCTTGTAAGCAGCACAGCTTTTAATCTTAATTTTTTCTTCCTCTATCATGTTTGTAGTGTTAACCTAACACTAGTAGAGTTTGTAATAATGGAAGTATTCTTAGAAGTCTAGAGGGAATCGTATGAATCAGCCATAAGCCCCCACCTAACTGACACTCTCCCCTCCACTCTCTTTTTGAGGGCAGCCTGTTCCCTGAGCAGGATGTGGCTCTCTGTGGCTTCCATCTGGGTCTGTGTGGTCACAAAACACTACTGCCCAGGTCCTCGCCTGGCCTTGTGGATGGAGGACTCTGCTCCAGATAGAGAACTGCGGCAGGAACTCTGCCACTGACATTTGTATTGAGCTTTCCAGTTTCTCCCCATGGACTTGAATTACTGTGCCATATTCAAGGTCCTGTTGGAAAAGAATATTACATGCATAGATGTGATTTCAGTTATAACTGTCCATTTTCCATGTCAATCTGTAAGGGGGGAAAGAAAGAAAAAAGGACATCTTTTGGTCAACCTGGGCTGCTAAAAAATATATACATGATCTGGTATAAAAATAAATATTTATCAAAGTGGGGTAGGCTGTGAATTCCAAGGTCAAGGTATGAGCAGACCTGGTGTCTTGTGCAGACCCATTTGTAGACCTATAGATGACAGATGGCTGTCTTTACTTCTACCTTAAGTGGCAGAAAGAGAGGGTTAGCTCTCTTTTCTTATAAAATCTCTGATTGAGCTCTCCCTGGTGGCACAACGGGTTAAAGCACCACATTACGAAGCTCTCTGAAGCCACTGCAGCACGAGTTCAATCCCCGGCCAGGAAGCTGACCCACAGGATGAGACAGACCTCTCCTGACCCGCCCACTGCTCAGCAGTGTACTTTGTCAATCTGCCTGTTCTGCTCCCCACTCCATCCCTGGTGAATCCTCTCTGGCCTGTACTCCAGTTCTGTGTGCATAAATAAATAAATCTTTAAAAAAAAAAAAACTGATCACATCACGAGCACTTCCTCCCCTCCTGGGAACCTTATCTAATGACCCTCCACTTCCCACATCCACACACTATCACATTAGGGCTTAGGATTTTGTGATGTACATAAGCATCAGTTCAGGTCGTTCTGCCCTCAGGCCCCTCCAAAATCCTGTCCTCCCATGCAAAATACATCTCATGCCAATAGCCAAAGTCTCCACTCATTCCAGCATTAATTCTAAGGTCCAAAGTCTCCTATCTCATCTAAATTTCATCTAAATCAGATGTACATGAGACTCAAAGTACAATTCAACCTGAGGCAAATGCTCATCTATGAGCTTGGGAAAGAAAAGGGTAAGTGCCTGCAGAACATCTTGGCAGCCTCCCTGCACCAGAAAGGGGGAAATCAGGAAATGGAAAGTGGGGATGGTCCAAGTGAGTCCAGAACCTGACCAGGCAAACACATGAGATCTTGAGGACTGAGAACAATCCTCTCCAGCCTGATGCTCTGCCTTTTGGCCCCACTGAGGCCAGCCTGGCTGGGGAGTTGTGATGTCTCTATGACGTCCCAGAACATACCTTGAGTGACCCTGTCCCTATGCTTCTTGGTAACCCCATATTAAAAACTGGTTGCTTTGAAGTCTTTTTATTTTTTAAGGATTTATTTATTTTTGCATAGAAGAACTGGGCTGAAGGCCAGAGGTGTATGGTGAGAGGATTCACCAGAGATAGAATGAGGAACAAAACAGTCAGATCTACTGAAATACACTGCTGAGGGAGCAGCAGGCGAGACAGGAGAGGTCTGCTGCACCATGTGGGTCACCTCCCTGCCAGTGTCAAACTCCTGCTGCAGTGGGGGCCGATAGCTTCATAGTGCTAAGAGTTAATTCCTAGGCCACCAAGAGGCCCGTTTTTGAGTTTTGCTCCAGAATGTCAGTACACGGCTTGCTTCATATCCTTTGTCAGGACTGTGTGTTGCACCTTTTCTCAGGTGAGTGAGTGCAGTGGAAGGGACAGAGCCTTTTCCCAAGCTCTGCTTGTACTCATTCATCCTTCCCCATGGAGTGCAATGCAAGAAACCAAGACCAGGGCCTATAAGCCCCTGTGAGAAAGCATAAATGCACATATTTATATAGAAAATAATAATAACAAGAAGAAAAGCACATTCATTTTCTAGAACTCAGATTTTAGGAGTTTTTTTTTTTTTTTTGTCTGTTTATTTGTTTTAGTGAAGCAGTTATTTGGGATGATGCTTTTTTTTTTTTTTTTAACTGTCCTCACCAGTGGGCATCACTAAAAGGTCTGCGAGAAGCTGACAGTCTCCTCAAAGGACCTGCTTACTCTTGTATGACAAAGGAAAAATACATGGTCATTTAAAGAACAAAATTTTTCCCAGCATTGATTTCAGAATAACGTCCAGCATAAATCTGTAGGTGAAGGCAATCATCTTCACATCTTCTGCTCATGCAGTGTTGTTCAACTCTGATTTCACAGAGAACAGGGAGAAAGTCTGCACGGAACACCCCATGTCACCAGTCTACCCCTCAGACTCACTGCCCTAACCAGCCACTGAGCCAGCGAAAGTCTGTTTAGCAGAGAAGAAAAAATAATTTTAACTGGTGCACTATACATACGCACTTATATACTGTTTTCTTCAGGCAAGATCAAAGTCATCTCTACAAATTAGACTTTGCCAACTAGAGTCTCTTTCTGAGAAAGGATATCTAAATACATAAATCCTATTTATGTTCATGATGTTTATTGTGATTTTCAGCTTCAGAATTTTCTTTTTTATGTTCTTTTTCTTTTTGAGTGAAGAGAGAATTTTAAGCAATCACAAGTCAATCTAACATACACAAGTCTGGGAAAAACCTACAGCTGACCTTTGGCAAGAAATCACTCAGTGGCAAGGCAGATGAGTAGTTGTCTGCTCGTTACAAGCATTCAGCTGCCCATGGACACCAATTAATATCTTTTTCAACAGAAATGAGCAGGATTGGTCAACCAAGTGACATGAAGAAGGGCTTCTACTGTATATAGTATGTCAAAATGATTATCCCAGCACAATTTTTGAAGAACATTAAGAATGTACAATTAATAATAATTAATTGATCTTTATGAACTTCATGTGTCAATCAAAGTCAGAGGTAAATTCTCTGATGAGGCTGAAAGCTCTGATATTTTGGACTGTGGCTTGTAAGGAGAGCCTCATGTTTCAGATATGAGTGATAAGACTTATGTAGTAGTACATAAGTTCTCACTCACTGGAGAAGAAAATTTCTCCAGAGATAAGATGCAGGTTAGCTCTGGGAGCAGACCAAACAGTTTTTTCAAACAAACAATACAAAACAAGACAGTTCATTCAGTCTGACTTTGCATGGTGGCAAGTAATAGAATATGCCCCCAGGAGTCAGAATCACACAGAAAAAAATAGATGTTTTCATGCTGAAAGAGCTAAGAGTTTCTATGTCTCATTTTGACCGCACTCAGGGGTGTGCTACTGTCTGTAGGGTCTGAAAAGTCGATGTCCAAGTGAGATCTTCATTCCAGAAGGTGGGTCTTTGGTGTACAGCTCAGATGAGTAAGTCAGTCAAGGGATGATTCATGTCCAAACTCTAGAAAGGTGCTCTCCACCATATTATCAGTTAGCCTTTAGTTGCTACTAAATATGCTTCCATCTGAGAGGTATGATACAGTTCACCTTTAGATTTAGATCCTTAAGCATACAGATGAACTTGGACCTAATTGTTGCATGTGAAATGTACTGATAAAAAAAAAATTTAATTTCTAGCACTGGGCTTGGGGTCTTTTCTGTCCAATCCTGTATGTGTTCCTTGGGGTCTTTTCCATGTCTGGTTTTACTCTTATTTTTATTTATTTTAAAATATTTATTTATGTATGCATGCAAGAATTGGGGTATAGGCTAAAGGTGCAAGGGGTGAGAGGATTCTCCAGAGACAGAGTGGGGAACAGAACAGAAAGATCTACTGAAATGCACTGCTGAGGGAAGCAGCAGGGAGACAGGAGAGGTCTGCTGTGCCATGTGGGTCAGCTCCCTGGGCGGATCAACTCATGCTGCAGTGGCCACAGAGAGCTTCACAGTGCTAAGACTTAACCCAATGTGCCACCAGGGAGGGCATCACTCTTATTTTTAAAAAACACGTGAATAAAGTGACTAACACTTCTCATGCATCTCTTTTGCTTCTGCAGGAGGGATTTTTGAAACTGTGGAAAACGAACCTGTTAATGTTGAAGAATTAGCATTCAAGTTCGCAGTCACCAGCATTAACAGAAATCGAACCTTGATGCCTAACACCACATTAACCTATGACATCCAGAGAATTAACCTTTTTGATAGTTTTGAAGCCTCACGGAGAGGTAACTATTTTCAAACTCTTAAAAGCTTCTTTGGGTGATAGGTCTGCTCTTTAAGTGATCTTTTTGCTACCTGTCCTGATTCACAGTGGACATCTTTGTGCAAAGGGTAGCAGGAAATGCCGGACCCTCGTGTCACCGTCCAATGCAATCAGAACTATCCTAATGGATGTTGCCTAGTTCTGTTTTCTGGGCCTTTCTGATTAGCTTACCCTTCAGTGCCCTCCACTCTATGATTAACTGGTTCAGCTGTGAATGGAAAATGTCAGGCTTGATCCGTTTTCCCTTCCTGAGGGTGAGATACCACCATGAAATTGTACAGTGCAGCCAAATAAAACTTTGTGGAAGGTCACAGCCACTGAGTCTGTAGAAATGTCCACAACACACATAACTCACAGTGAGAATTTGAACAGGTTGTAAACTATTAGCGTTGACCTGGCATTTTCTCAGCTTGTCATTTCTTAAACTCCTTTCTACAAAATCATGGAAACAGGGAGTGTAAACCTAGGAGAACAATCTCATCTGATTCTCTTTCTCTTGGGAACAGAGAAAAGGTTCCTAAAATGTAACTAGTGGGTGAGGAGACTGCAAGTTACCTTCCCTGGGAAGTATGAGGCTTCCCAGAAGTCCCTTGGCCTTCTAGGGTGATCCTCTGAAGCATGATCACACCCAATTTTCTCGAGAGTTGCCCTCTAACAAGGGACGCTGAGATTCAAGACAAAGAGTTGCATGGAATCATCACCCCAGATTCTAAGAACTCCACCGCTCACAGAGAGTGTTTTGACCATAAAGAACACTAACAAATGGAACATAATGAATGTGGTGCCCATGCTGGGTCCGAGTAACTAGCTACTGTCTGTGTCCACAGAGAAGTAGTAACCCAGGAGGTGTTCCCCTAAGACAAGCTTCTGTAAGACTCTAGACTTCTTCATAAAAACACAAAAAAAAAAAAACACGTAAAATTTGTTTTCCTGGGAATTCAAATAAAAAGTGAATGATATTTTTTTCAATAAATTGGCAGGACCTTAGTATAATTTTGCTTCTATGTGGATGAAATAGCAGCTAATATAGGTCAGAGATATCTATAGGCAAGAGATATGTATAAACAAGACATCTGTATATCTATATTTATATAACATCTTATAAGGCATAATAAAGTAAATGATGTCATGGGCTAGATCAATCTCTCTCTCTCTCACCACACACACACACACACACACACACACGCACACACACTTGAAAATCAACCATATTTAGCCATGATATTAAAACCATTCAAAAACTGAAAGCTTTTTGTCATCTAAAGTACCTGTCATGTTTATAGATAACACACCCCCAAAGCTTCTTGAAACTGGTAATTTGTTGGTGAAAAGAATTCAAAAGGATTGATTTTCTGTCAAGTAATATTAGCATTGCAGAGCTTAATATTAGCTGGAATCTCAATCCATTGTTCATTCCAGACAATGCTGGAATGAACACGCTCTCAGCCTCTCAGGCATGAGGCTCCTCGGACAGAGGCAATATTTGCTCGCAACACTTAATGCAGAAAAGTGTATGTCTTTATGTCTCATGTGATAATTCAGTGACAAAGAACACAGTACTAGAAATTTTCCTGCTGAATGACTTATCAAACTTTGCTACCCCAAAGGTATTTGGAAAATGTGTCTCAAAATTTTGTCAGATGAGTTTGACATAGTCATATTTTTTCTCTTGTAGTTATAGAACAACAGTATCATAAAAATTAACAGCTTCATTAATAGATGCTACTATTATTTAGTGTAAAATTTCAACTGGGTCAGTTTCAGGTACCTTTAAACTAGTATTATAACATAAACTTTAAATGTTCTGAAATTTATATTTAATGCCACTGCAAATTGAGGCCAGCAAAAAAAGAGCAGATTCTATTTTACATGATGATAGAGGATAATCTGTCCCAATCTTTCTGAAAGGGATTGGCTCATATATATCCTGTAGTAAAAATAGCAATACCATTCATTTATATCTTGGAATTCACTCTAAGAATGTAATGAAAAGATCAGAGACATACATAAAAATGAAAATAATTGCTATAATATTACAATACCAAAATTTAGGAGCAGATTGGTTAGATGGTAGCATACACAGGGAATAACCTATTCTAGACATTAAAAATAAACATTTAAATAATTTGTAATGACTTGAGGAAAAGGACATGTTTCAAATATTAAATTTAGTGTTAAAAAGCAATGCATCAAATTCTATCTACATAATGTTTTTTTTTTAATTCGAACACTAAAATATAAATAAGTAGTGCCTCAAGATGGTGCAGTGACAGGGTCTTACTTATAAATGTTCTACATTCTCTCAATGAGTGCCAGTAATCTTATGAGAAAGCTTATGTAAATTCCATTAGTTAACTAATTAATACACATGAGCTTGATATGGTTAAGCTACAAGTCGGCTGATACTGAGGTAATGTTAGGCTGACCGGGAGGGGGTCCAGAACTCGCTGTAGCTCTGCTATTATCTATGATTATTGTCCATGACATTAGTGGGTCGGACCAAACATCATCTAAGGTCCCCGGAGGCTATGCTGTTCCATTACTCTGCAATTAATTAGGTCTTAGCATCACTTATGAACGTTCTTCAGTGATTGTTCACTAGCAGAGAACTTCAGAGTTTAGAGATGATAGGAGTTAAAATACTTTGCAGTTACCCAGGAACTTGTCCAAACTCAATGATCGCATTTCATATCTTCATTGCCACCCGGACACAAGACAAAGCTCCATTCTCCCGGCATCCACTGGGCTAATGGCTCGTGGAGCAGCTCTGGGCGCCCCTGGGCCCTAGCACACCAGCAAGAGGTTTACACTCCATCTGATTAAAGCCATGAAGTAAAACCAGCGCTCATTTCTACTTGTCTGGGGAGCTAGCCCCGTGATGTGTTACTAATCAGTTCTACATTTGCATCCCTCCTATGTTAGCGTCTCGGAAGTGGTAGAAGTACAATTACGCGTATTGCCTCAACATGCAGATGGAGAGTCTAGGAAAGTTTCCAATAATGAAAATTAAAAGGGAGTACCATGGAAAGAAAGATCAAATTCACGGATCTCTCTCCTTCTCTCGTCCATCCCTGCCCTCCCTCGACCTCTCGTGTCTGGGCCTCAGCATGCGACCAGCTGGCTCTCGGCGTGGCGGCTCTCTTCGGCCCTTCCCACAGCTCCTCTGTGAGTGCTGTTCAGTCTATATGCAATGCGCTGGAGGTTCCCCACATACAGACCCGCTGGAAACACCCCTCGGTGGACAACAAAGACTTGTTTTACATCAACCTCTATCCGGATTATGCAGCTATCAGCAGGGCGGTGCTGGATCTGGTCCTTTACTACAGGTGGAAAACAGTGACGGTGGTGTATGAAGACAGCACAGGTATGGGACCCACAAGACCCCTCCCCCACACACCCAGCCCTAGGTCTGGTCAGAAACAAGGGTAGCACAGTGTTCTAGAAGCATTGAGACTCATCAGGTGTGGTGTCAGAGCACACTCTTTCACATGAAGCTAATGGGAGCCCCCAGTTTAGAAATTCATGTGTCCCTCGTTGCAAATCCTGTAGGTGAGTTCATTCTTCCTGATGGTCTTTACATCTTCAAACGTGTGAAGATTTTTAGTTTCCTATCAGAATATTAAGTAGTGGTTTCATGTGTCCAATTCTATTAAGACTATGACCAGGTCTCTCGATCCCTTAAATAATTCAGGAAACATTTGAAAATGATCGCACTGTGTAATACCTACTTTATTCATAGGTCTGTGGATGTCGTTACTTTTCTAAAGTACATATAGGAAGTGATGGTTTCTGGCTGCTGAACATTCCATAGGAAATGGACTAAGAACCCCAGTATGAATAAAGATGCAGGTTAGACCTGCTTATTAGTAGGCGGGGTAGAAGCATGGTGCTTGCCGCTCCTCTCCTAAACAGTTTCTCCAATGGACCCCCCATGAAGTTCCTTTTGTAGGTACCTTCCCTTTTGCCTTCTGGTTACATCTGAGGTTGTTGGAGTTCAGGTCCCTTTAAATCTCTTTCAGGTCTACAGTGGTGACTCTCCAGTGTCTACATAAAAATGTCCAAGTCCTAATTTAAAGTCCAGGCACTAGCTTTTCTACACTCCCTGGACTGTCCTATCAGCCATGATGGGGTGTCCAGCATTTAAGTCCAGTCCTTAAACGCCACTGAGGTCCTCTCAGCTTGTCCTCCTTGGATGATCCCCCCCAAGCATCTCCAAGGTAGAGATATTCTCCCTGATGGCTCTCAAATATCACTTCTTCCTTGAAGTTCTACTCTGAGATCATCCTGTGACTCAGTAACTTGGGTGGCACATCAACGCTACAAACAGAAGCATGATGTCACCTGTTCCGTGATCTTTCTATGTGTTCATGAGACTCAAAGCTCCAAAATGTTGAAATTTTATTTTATTTATTTTTAGATTCTGACACCCAGCACATAGAAAAGCTTAGTAATTACAACGGAAGTAATATTATTTCCGTTCTGATACTTTTTCTCCAAGAAATGAAAGTCAGTCATTGATCTATGGAGTTAGTGATAAGACTAATAAAATGATTCAAGAAAATTAATAAAGCAAGGCACTTTCAAACTTTTTAATAGTGTTCCATTTTCACTGTCCCCTTCAACACGCCCAAAATCCCTTTTGCAGAGAGGGTGAAAGGTTAGCCTCATTTCTTTGGCCCTGAAATCTGGTTCCATTTAAAACTGTCAGGTAAAGTAACTATTCTAGTTGAAAATATGCATTTATGTATTTTCTTATGCCTCATCTCATTTTAGAAAGAAAAGGAAGGTGGGTGATTGGCTAAATATGTATTTTTTAATATTATATTTAAAAAAGTCCTCCTGGGAAGGATAAACCACAGACAGGCATATTTTTAGAGCTTCACCTGCTTGTTGTGAAGGAAGAAAACATATTATCAAATGCGCTCCTTAGCATATTTAGAGCCCTGATATAGCACATTATATTGTAAAAGTAAATATAGTCAAAATACCATGTTGCCACCTTTGTAAACAGAAAAAATCTGTGAGCTCATGAAGTTATACTCTTTCTCTTTATGTAGAGTCTTCTGTAGTATATTTTCTCTGTTTCTATCATCTCCAGCATACCATGACGAAAAGAGAACAAATTAATGAATGATATTGAAACTTCTGGATTTTACTTAAGAAAGAGCTCAAGTGAAAATATAGGCATAGCTGTTGTAGATTTCACATAATATTTAGATAAACTATTTGTAAAAGAGTGACAAGGAAGTCTGTGTCCCAGCTGCCTCTCTGATTCCAGCTGAGCACCCATAAGTGACAGCCATTTTGCCCAGGAGAAAAATCAAACTATCATTTCTATCATCTTTTACAAGAAATTGAAACCTTTTCATCCCTGCTAAGTTTACCTGAGCTCAGTTGCTCATGAAATACTTGCTGAAATTGAAAATCCAGGATGGTTTTGGCTGTTGCCCATTGAGTTAGAGATGATTCATGTTAAAATGATTTTGCCCACAAAGATGTTAAAAATGCAAATGAATAATCAATTGAACCATTAAATTGGAACCCAGAGAGTAAACAGGTCAACTGAGATCAATAAAAGCCAACATCTTTTGACTATGAGTGGGTTTCATACTGCTTGACTCAGGGTTTCCCTTGTAGTAATTATCAAGCCATAAAGAAGAAAACTTACTAAACCTGAAGGAAAAGAAAGGACTTAGGTGTGCTCAACACCCACCCTCATACCAGAATTAAGTGCCCATTAAAGAGCACTTTATTGGGATTTGTTTAGGAGTTTGTTAAATAGCCTGAAGCCAGCACAGATGTCTGAGGGACCCAATGGCCCATTACTCCCTTCCAAGTCAATGGGAGCACCGGGCCTGTCACTAAGGGCAAAATTCAATTCACTAAACAGAAACAGGCAGCGTTCTGTCTCTAGAAGTGAAAATGTAGAAAGACCCCTGAGAACAGCTGGGGTGGGGCGGAATAAAGTTCTCTTTCGCTTCATCTCCCACAGTCTCTGTTGATTGCATGTTGTCCCCATCAGTCACCTACTTCTCTCTGATCCCCACATTCAGAGGTGACCCCAGGCAATGAGAAATTGCAACTCATTGCTCACCCCCTGCTCCATTAGGCCCTTGGCGGAAGTCAGCCTCTGTGCCTTCCCAGTCGTCCAAAAAAGGCTGAGAAGCTGAGTACCAATGCAGTGTGGAGGAGTCTATTCAGCAGTTTCTTTTGTTAAAGCCAATCTCAATGAGATGTGACCTTAGCCATTTCTGTAGAACGGTCAGCAAACTATTTTTGTTCGAAAGGATCAGATAGTTTATAGCTTAAGCTGTGTGGTCCTTTAGGACACTATTCTGCTGGAAGAATGAGAAAAGCAGCCCTAGATGGCACATACATGAATGGGCATTGAGTGATCCAATAAAACTTTATTTATAACAAAGGAAGGGTGGTGAGGAGACAAGGCCATAGAGGAGAACCTTATAGATCATGGAGGGCTTTGTAGGTCATGAGGAGCTTCCACTCCCATGAAATGGGAAACCAGTGGAGAGTTTCCAGTTGAGGAGAGATGTGATTGGATTTATATCTCAAAAAGATCACTCTGGCTATTGTATTAATAAGAGAGCATAGGGAGGTGAGGGTAAAACCAGGTGTTTCACAGAGAAATCAAGGCAAGTGATCAAGGTGATGGCCAAAGAGTGGTAAGAAATGGTCAGATTTTGAATTTTGACCAGGCATAATGCCCTGAGACAGTGGAGGGAGGGTGAGATAGAACATAAAAGACAAGATGAATAAACGTTTTGATGTAAACCAAGGGAAGAGTTATCATTCCCTGAGGTGGGGAAGAGGTGGGGGAAATATGCTAGTTGGAGCTTACTCACTGACATGTGGCTCTGGAGTTAGCAATTCTCCACCTAAAGGCGGTGATAAACAGGCATTTCAGATATGAGTACAAGAGCATAGTCTGGGTGGGAAATATCTGAGAGTCCTTGTCACAGAGAAAGTTCTAGATGAGACCATAGTGGAAATGAGTTCCAGACAGATGAGTTCATTTCACAAAGGGTTTTTTTTCATCCTTGGTTGCCTTACACCATTTTTCTCAATACATCCCAGCCATATATTTCTAAAATGTAACCTGCAATAGAGTTCTTAGTTATCACTTGAAACATGGGCTCAAAACTTTACAGTGAGGATATATTTGAAATGAGATTAACATATAAAAATATGTCTGTGACTGAAAGAAATAATAAATCCAGGGAGACAATACAAGGAATATGACAATCCCCAAACTGACCATCACTTGAGTTATTGTCTCGAGTGCTAACACTCTGCCATGTACCGTTCTAAATGCTTCTTATAATTAGTTCCTTAATATGATTAAGCATCTTATGAATACATGACATAGCTGCTCTTATCACTTATATTTAACTAGTGACTAAGATTTGTTATATCTATTATTATATTGCTCTTCATTTTTCTACAGAACACAAAAGAAACATTGTACTGATCCAATAATTTCAACTTGAAAAACAATTAAACCTTTTGGCATAGGTAACCAAAGTGACATGAAAAATACTGTCACAATCGGTGTTGAAGAAAGGACTCAATGGGCATTTTCATCTGGTCCAATCAAACTCACCCCCTTGTGTTTTTATGACCACAGGTGACAGCAAGGACACCTGTGCTGTGTGTCTCACGTGAAATAGCAGGCAAATCAAGCCATGTAATCAGCACCAACCTTACAACAAGGCATGATAGCTCCTTATTTCCTCTGTCCTTAGAAATCCACTCCAGTCTCCTGACCAGAATCCTAATCAAATTTCAGAATTCTGGTGAGGAAACTAATCTTCAGATATTATATGGAAGCAGATTCCTTTTATCCATCACTAATATTAGTCAAAATGCAGGTCCAAGAAATACTGGGGAAGCTAACTACAGTATAGTTCATCTCAAATATCTTGAATAGAGTCTTCCGTGAGGTCTTTGGCAACCAAGGGACACAATTTTTCATTTGGAAAGTCTCTATTCTTTTTTTTTTCATGCAAATATTAAAAGTCCTATGTATGAAAATCACATTTAAAAGTGATGTATTTCCCTAGGTAATTAATTCATTCACATAGTCATTTCCATTTCTTAGTTCTGTTGTCCCTCTCCTCTGAAGGGTACATAGATCCCCTTAAGAGTCCTATTATATTTGGATATATTAATATACCAACATGTTTGTGAAATGCCATTTTGCATGTGTCTAAGTTCAAACGAAGAAGAAATTATCATTCAAAATGTGTGATCTTATCTTTGGGTCCCAGTGGTTTATTGCATTCATTTTTATGGCATCAAGCCCAGTGATGAGGCTTAATGAACAGGGAATTGGATTAAGACTCAAGA